GGATCTTCATCCCTCTATGTAAAACGTTTTCTTTTAATGAAAATGTGAGTATTTTCTTTAAGAGTAAGAGTTAATTGGATAAATGTTTTTAATCTCTCAAAGCTCTCTCTTTACCCCTTTATTTCTTTTCGTCTTTTTGTTTCACAAAATATTTTTAAGACAAAAGAAAATTTTATAACAACATCTTTTGAAAAACAGTTCTGTTCTTTAAATCTATTTTCTAAACTTGATTTCTGTTTTTCCTATGCTTATATTTGCATTTCTTTATGTCTATATAAATTCTGTAATCTGTTGTAGGCAAGCTTTTTAATTGAAAAACTTTTGTGTAATATGTTAGGTGAGAAGCTATGGTGGAATATGTTATCAAGCGACCTTCTCCTTATGTGAGATTCTAATGTATTGATTTGAGTTTCTATTCTCTGCAAAAACAGAAAGGGTTGAGGTTGACTAGAACCTTCGGAGAATCTAGTGGGCCAAAGGGTAGATCTAGATTTTAATATATTATCTTGTAATGTTGATTTATCTCTTACCCTTGAAAAGAGATAACATAGTGGAGGATCTCTAGATGAGTATTGGGGAGTGGCTGTAGGTGAGTTAGTGCCAAACCACTATAAATCACTGTGTTTATCTTTTTATTTTCTAAAGTTCTGCTTCATTCTATTTTATTTACACAACTGTAATCTTTTAGAAATGCAAAGTTGTTAATGAATTTCTGGTTCTAAACTTGTGTAAGCTTTATCTTTATTGAACATTATAACTCTAGATTTTTGTATTGTGATTATACCAAGTTCTTATTGAACATTATAACTCTAGATTTTTGTATTGTGATTATACCAAGTTCTAATATGTTCTTCTGTATTCAGTATAAATCACAACTTGAATTTTAATCAGTTTTTTTTTTTAATATTGCTTAAAGCTTTGTGCAGTAGTTTTAAATACAATAACTGTTTTTCACAGAATCTTTTCAAACTAGCAATAAGCTTTGTGAAGCGATTCTAAAAATAATAATTGTTATTCGCAGAGTTTTTCTAAAGTAACTTAAGCTTTGTGAAGCAGTTCTAAATTCAATAACTGTCTTTGACAGAGTATTTCTAAACTTGCAATAAGCTTTGTGAGAAAGTTCTAAACTTGATAACTCTCTTTCACAAATGCTTTCTATTTCCGCTACAACAGAATTCTGAATTCTGAGAAAGTTCTAACTTGATAACTCTCTTTCACAAACTTGCAATAAGCTTTGGAAAACCCAATTCACCCCCTCTTGGGTTGTGCCATACATAAATGGGACCCACACTATTTTTTTAAAAATAAGATTTCAAATAGAATATATATAATATTTTATTTTAGGAGAGAGATAAAAAAAGTTAATTATTTTTATTAATATTTTTTCTTCATATTTGTGTGATTTGATTGGGTATATTTTTTTAAAAAAAAAAAAATTCTCAAATGGAATACACATAATTAAACCTTTCAAAATTTTAAATTTTTACTTTTCAAAATTTAAAAATGAAACATATGTGTGCTGGATTACGAATAGTTTAAAATTTTAATTTTTAAAAAATATATAATATTTTATTTAATTTATATTTATATTATATTAATTTTTTTATTATGTGAGTTCTGAAAAGAGTTTTATTCTTAATACTTGTTTTTATTTTCTTTTTTCGTTTACTGAATAATGTAACTATTATCATTTTAATTTGTAACTATTATCATTTTAATTTAGTAAAATATTTACATCTCCCTTGCAATAAATAGATGACCTCTTGATAATTAAGCATTTTTAATTTTCTTGATATTTCTTTCTCTTATATCCTAAATCTATTTGACTTGAAAGAAATAGTGTTTAGGAAACTGGAAAAAAAAAATTAGGACTATATATTTTTGTTTTAGATCACTTTTTAGGATTCAAAAATTTATATATATGTGCATATTCATTTCTCTAATATACTGGGTAAGTAAGACTGCTATTATAGCCAAAATAATTACCATTATCAATTTATTTTGAAACTACTTTATTATATAAAAATGAAATTAAATACATAAAAAATATCATTATAAGTAACAAAATGCAATACAAACGTAACCCATTTGTTTTATTAATTTAACAAAAACTGTATTATTTAATATTATATATTATAAAAAATATAAGATTATTAACGAGTTATAGTCAACGTTACAACGCATGCCATAAAAAAGATTAGTACTAGTACGATATATATTATTCTTTGTTGAAATTTAAAATATCCCTAAAGTAAACTATTAGTCTTAGCCAATTTAGAAAAATTTTAACCTATATAATATATATATATAATATTCTTATTATGGATTTTGTTTAACTTTTTTTTAATAGATAAATATATATAAGATAATTAAAGCATTTCAAAAAATTTTAAATTTGTACTATTATTATCTATTATGTCTAAATTATATTTTATTTCATTATATTATTATGTAAAATTATTAATATAATTTAATAATTTGGAATAATTTATATTATTATTATAATTATAATTTAGCTTCAACATTTATTATTTAAATAATATATGTAAAAAAAGATTAAAAAAATATTGTTATTTTTTTTTAAACGTCTCGAATTGATTAGTTTATATTGACATCTTATTTAAAGCAAGATCTATTTCTATTAAAGAATATACTTTTATTTAATAATTTTTCTAAAATGCTTTCATGAATTTTGATTGGCTAAAAAAATAAAATAAAAAAAAATAAAAATAAAAATGTATTATTATTTATAAATATTTAATTTAACTTAGGAGATTGATTTTTTATTCTATTATTAAAGTATATTTATTTACTAAAAAATATTATAGTGAAAGTTATTTACAAAACATATAAGTTAATTATAAAGCATATAATAAAAACTATGTGACGATTTAATCAATTTGGTTTTTCCTTAAAAAAAATGAAAGTAATTAAGGTGTAATAAAAACTGTATGAATCATTATGTTGAATACTACATTTCATATTTAAATTGCTATTTGAAAGAGAAAAACAAATATATTGATAAGTGTTATTTTTATAGTTTTTTTAATATAGTTTTTATTAGGATTTTTAGTATTTTTAATTGCTTTAATTAGTTTTCATTTAGTTTTATTTATGGTTTTCTATAAAGCTTACTTGAATCATATTTCACTTGATCTTAAAGAATTTTGTAAGATTTTTATAGGAAACTAGCCAAAAATGCAAAAGAAGATCAATTGTCATAAACTTCCAGCAAGTAGCAGCCTCAGGGCGTGCTACGTAGCATTCCCGTGCTATCCGGCAGTGTTCAACTTAAGCCGAAACTTCATATTAAGCCTGTGTTGCCCACATGAAGATAGTGTGGGTCATATCTTATTAAAGCTGAAATCTTATTTAGGCGCTGGGAGAGTCCTAATTGGGAAGAAATATAAAGCCTATATAGTTTTCTATCTCTAAAAGATTTCTTACTCAATAGAGATTCACTTTCCTAAACGAACACGAAGATATTCCAGAAAGTCTATATAATGAGTGAGAGACTAGCCTGAGAGACTAGCCATGATCAAGGTCGAATCCATTCATCGTATATTCCATCTCTTATTCTATTATTTTCTAGATAATTCTCTCTCTTTTTAAGACTTCAAGTATTCAAGTTGGTGCCAAGATTCAAGGAAGCCGCTCAAGCGAATCATTGACTAGTTTTTATTTCCAAACTCTCTTTTCATTTATTATTCTTTATGAGATTATTTACAAGTTTAATTGAGTTTTATTTAATTACTATATCGAACTAAATTCATATACTATAGATTTGATGTAACTTAATTTCGATTTCAATTTATAATATTATATTTATTTTTCTTTATTCATGATATAATTTATTATTGAACTTAAAGCTTCTAGACAGAGTTTCTCCCCTGAATTGATTTATTTCATTAATCACTATCGGGAGAAGGGTATCGGAAGAAGGGTTTTGATATGAACAAAGAAATAAATTACATGAGAATGATAACTTAATGCGGAAGCTATATGGTTTGACTCATGGGGGTTTTCATAAATTTACAACCTTAGGTTATAAATTCAAAAACAAACCATAAAACTTATTGATTTAATACATGTTTGATTGCGCTATTGGAAGATAAATAATTAGACTGGGTTAAAATATCTAACAATACATCGGGAGAGCTTGTTAGTGATTTTAGGGTTGTTTCCCCTACTTGAACAATTAAAATTGATTATCAAACTAATATAAAATAATCATATAGAATTTAATGCGAAGTCAAAATTTCCCTAGTAGCTTTTAATCATTGTTTTTCTTTTCAACAATTACTTTATTTTTAATCACTTTATTTATTTTTTAAAATTCTTTTTAATCAACTTTGTTATTTTTTTTAAATTCCCTAGTTAGCTTGAGTTCTTTTTAATCATTTTATTTATTTTTATTTTATTTTTTAAATTCTTAGATTATATTCCCCTTATTATCGTTTAAATAATAGTAGGTTAACATAATTTTGATACTTGGTATACAATCCCCGTGGGAACGATACTCTACTCACTCTTTATTATTTGTTTGTGATTTCGTACACTTATGAAAAACCCTATCATATATCATTTTTTTCAATGACATATTACAGTGTAAAACATATCATAAAAAAAAAAAAAACTTACTGTACATATAAAGTGTAACATAATGTAATTATTGTATTTATTACGATCTAAATAAGAATTTATAATTTAATTGTATATAAATAAAAAAAATTAAATGAGTATAAAAAATGAGCATATAACTATGATAGTCAAAATAGACTAGTATTATTAAGTAAGCGGACTAGTAATATGATATTGTTATTGTTTCATTTGTTTCGCACTATATTTGTATCTTACGAACGTAATCAAAACTTAATTAATAAGCATTTATTAAATCAAATAGTTTTGGAAGATACAAGGAAGACATACATAATACGAACTTTTCAATTACACCAATAATCCGAAAGACACTACTTAGTACCAATACTTCATTACCAATAATCCGAAAGACACTACTTAGTACCAATACTTCATTTTTCTATCAAAGAGTCTAGGCCTATACGTGGATACGAAAATCTCAACAAGTAGAGGAAACTGTAAAAATATAAAAACAGTAATGGGAATACTCGCCAACAAAATTATAGGAATGATTAGTTTCAGATCTCCATCTAGCATTATTATGAGAGTAGCACAAAATGATATCATCATGGCTGCAATGGAAAAGAAAAGGGTAGAAAGACCCATGATCATCTTTCTTGGCAATGATTCAAGAAAATCTTCTTCTGCATAACGTGAAGTCAAGACTCCTAAAAACATTAATACTGAAGTTGAGGAGGCAAATAGAGAAATTGCATCAGCTACTATGAAAACCTTGAATGCTTTCTTATGTAAAAATATTGGAAATCCAGTATCTTGAATGTTGCCACCGGGAACAGTAAATGCGGTAGTAAACATAATTGTAATAATAAGAGCACCTACGACTGTAGAAGATGTTGCAATTCCTTTCATCCATTTCTCTCCTTCCTCCTTTAATTCCTTGTGGCTTTTTGTAAACAATTGGCTAGGGGTATACTCTTCTTCATTGACATATTGTTTTAATGTAGGATCCACAATACTTTCTACCTCCTACATTGAAATCAAAATTATAAAGGGTGAGCATAGTGCCTAAATATAATATATTATAAAGTTAAAGTTAAGACTAGATCGTTTAATTGTTATCATATCGAGTACAAATATGAATGTATGTCTTAATAAGTCGTAAAGAATTACCTTATACCATTGTAGCTCTCTTTGCATTTGCAAAGCTGGACTTGAAATATGAGCAAGTCTGTGTGCAGGTGCTAACATTCCTGCCATATGTAACGTGTTATTTCCATCGCCGTCAAATGAATTAATCAGCAAACCCTTCCATTCTCCAACTGCATATATAATGCTGAAAACTTTTTCTTGTCGATATTCAATAGCATATTCAATTATTCCTCTTGATAGGGTGTTTCGAGTTGTGATGATAGAAGGATTAGCTTTTAGTATCTCAATAACAATTTCAACTATCCCACTTTCAGTAGCAGTAAATAAGGCTTCATCTATTCCTTTTTTTATGATATCTTGATTTTTTGTAATCGAAGTGCCTTCAAATATACAACGTTATACAACGTATAACTTGGAGAGCATAGATGTGTGTCAACTTCATATCATAAATTTGCTTCAATCCTTCAATGAAAAGCAAATAGAGATAATTAAGAATGATAACTTCAAATCAATTAAAGAAATTAATGAAATAGAGAATTGGATTTTGGTTAATTAATAATTTTTCCAATCAAACTAACATCAATTACAACAACATTAGCATAGTAAAAAAAAAGCAAAGACATCACAAATTAAAGAAAGGCTTAGTGACAAAAAAAAAAAAAAAAAAAAAAAAGAAAAACTTCAACTTTGATTTTTTTTTAAACATGGTCGATGCTTTTAATTTTATCAATTGTGGTACTCAACTTATTTTTTTATAGTAATTATAGTCTCCATCCATTGTCGACACTTTTTAATTTGGCTCCATCCATTCACTAGCTTGTCACTTATTCTTCTCTATTGAATATTATTTTTGTATTTATTATTATTTTCTCTATCTATAAAAATTTAATGACATTTAGTATTATTTATTTATTATAATATTTGAGTATTATGTTTTTATTCAATAATAATCAATCGTTTCTTAACATTGAAATTTTAAAAATTAAATTGTAAAATATTTTTAATTTTTTCATCTAAAACTTTGGATTTTTAGAAAAAAAACTTTGGGAATTTTTAGGAATTTTATTATTAACAAAAAATTTTTTAATTGACTTAATAAGAGAGATTTGTTAATTGGAACAATTTTTCACATTGTGAACCAAAAAAAAAAAAAAAAAAAAAAAAAAAATTTTAGAAAACAAATAATCAAAAACTGAAAACTGTTTCATATCTCTAATAAATAAAAACTCAAACCAAACAACTATAACAAATAGGGCCTAAGCTTTTATGATATGATGATACAGTACTTTTCTGATACGATGATATAATACTTGAATGGTGATAAGTGAGTCCATTAATGACCACATCAGACTGTGGTTATAACTTATAATTGCTAAAAAAGTTAAATTCAATATGAAAAGTGCATAATATCATCAAAATTTGTAACTATTAAAACACAATAAATCTCTTCAAATTGGAATTAGCTTACCAAATATGTCTTTGACACTTGAGCCTAGACTTTGGAGCCCTGCAAACACTACAAAATTCAAAATTGAGTCAAATGAAATCATATTTCATTTATTCTGTAAAAAAAGTTAATATTTCAATTATAAAAAGATTATTAGGCAAGAGTATAGCAAATTAGCAATAAATTTCTTTGGGGCGTAAACTTATAAAAGCTTAATGGCAACAAATGTTTAAATATTTTCCAAAATTTTTAATTATAGTAATGATTAGTTAGATTCTAAATATGAGAAATTAACTTAATTTGATCCAATATATTCTAAAAAAAATAGTTTTTCTAATATAACTTTAAATGTTTTATTTTCTTGATTAGCGTACAGCCCAATTGATTTTATACAATATGAATTCCAATATTTACTCATTTATAAGCTTATTTACTCATTTATAAGCTTCTTATTGTTTTGAGTCCACAAATTCTTCATTTGCATTTCATTTCTGCATTTCATTTCTCTTTTCTCTTTAAACCTAAATTTAATACAAATTTTATCTTTTTATGAAATATAAATTTAAAATTATTTTTAATAAAAGAAAACTATAAAACTTTGCATTTATACATGGAGAAAGAAGCTGAAAAGGTATGGGAAAAGGGGTTTCTAATTAACTTATTGTCAATCTATTATAATTTTCTAATATAATTATAAATTTATTAACACATTCTATACATTATGTGTTAATCTATTAACACATTCTATACATTATGTGTTAATCTCTCTTTCTATTCATTGAAATCACTTCTTTGAATATTGTTTTCTTTTTGTTATTTTTCATTTTTTTTTCGTTTGTGGAGAGATACAATTGAAGCAATTTTTAAAGCAATTTTCAATTACAGAAAAATTTTAATTTTAGAATTTGAATATTTGAGATTTTTTTTGTTACAATTTTAAAATGTTTAAAATGGAGAGCTTTTGAATTTAGTGTATTCACAACAATAATTTCAGTGGGGCATTTCATAAATTACACATATTTCCTGGTAAGAATTGAACCAAAGAACCGATTTATAAGTATATTTTTAAAACTTTTAGATGTATCATTTAGTTATAACAACAATTATATTTTATGATTTAAAATCAAAACTTCATTACTATTGATTAATAAATGTTAAGATGGTATGAGAAAAAAAAATTGATACGTTATCATCTGTCATTATATCTAATAATTTACCAATATGATAATTAATAAATGTATAAACAATTTTTTTAATATATTCAATATAATAATTTATGATCATAAATGTAGTTGGATTATATTTAATTTAATATAATAAATGTATAAATGTATTTAATTTAATATTTAAGGAGAAAAATTAAATTTATATCAATTTTTGAATCTAACATGAATATACATCAAATATCATATATATATATATATATAATATGAGAATTATAATTTTTTTTTTTTTTTTGGTTGCTAACGTAGTGACTATGAGACTAAAGCTCTCTAAAATTTTAGCATTTCATTTTTTCTTGCTCGAGAAAATTTTACCTTTTAAACCTTAGAAATTAAATTATTTGCTTTTAATATTTTTACTTGCAATTTAATTATTCCCTTTTAATCACTCATATTTATATATAAAGCAGGCATGATTTCCTTTGATTGTCATTTAATTATCATATTAATATATATTATAATTTATCTTCTAATTAAAATTACTATAATATTTATATTGATTATCATAATTATCATTCATAATTATTATTTATTATTATGAATGAAAATTTTATATTTAAAAGAATTGATAGAGAAGGTGAAATACTTCTTATTTACAGAAGACCCTGGCTTCCATTTCTCTATCCTAAGGTAACTCTTTGGTTCATTCCTAATTAAAGTACGCGTATGGTTATTGAAAGTCAGAAGGCAGGCCTTAGCTGGTGATCCGAGCTGTTTCCCTCTCGACGATGAAGTTTATCTCCCATCGTCTCACTGGCCAACCTTGACCCCTGTTATTTTGAGGTCATATCTAGTATTCAGAGTTTGCCTCGATTTGGTACCGCTCTTGCAGCCCGCACCGAAACAGTGCTTTATCGAAAGTTAATGGTGAAAATATTTACTAATAGTTTTATTATCAATAAATATTCAAATGTTTCAACATTTATTTGTCTTAATATTGCAATTATATAATTGTCTTTATTAGTCTTAAAGGTAACATATTGAATTACACGTCAATAGCATATTACTAACCTATAAATCGAGATAGCTTTTTTAGATTTAGTAAGATTAATTTTTTAATTTTTTTTTTAATTTCAAGAATTCTTACATAATTTTTTTCTGACCTTGATAAGTTTTATTTTCCTCTACTAATTTCTATTTTACTCTATCAAGTTAGGAAGAGTTTTTTAAGCCCTAAAAGAAAATGATTTATATGAAATTATTATTAAGGACGATATATCTCTGTCTATGATTGAATTTTTATTATCTATTTCATTTTATTTGTTTTTTTATTTTTAGTATTGTCTAAAAAAATTTATTAATTCAAAAATAAATTAAATCAATGATTTTTTTGATATATATTTCCTTTCTTTCAATTTTATATAGCTTTTATACACAATTAGTCTAATGCTTGAATTTGAAATGTACATTCTTCAACCTCTTAAACAATTTTCAACAAAGTTAAAAAATATGAAATTAAAAATAATTTAGATTAGTAAATTTTTTTCTTAACTAAATTATATATTTTAAAATATTTCAACAACATCTCTAACATTATGGATAAAGATATTACATGTGCATAACACATGCATATTACTAGTTGGTAGCTAGGTATATAACATTTTTTTTTTGAAAAGAAATACTTCATAGCATTATATCTTGAATTATAAAAAGATAACAAGAACTCAGACACATAATCTCTATCTAAAGAATGAATCCCAACATTTTTTTGTCTCATAATCTATTTAGTACTAATACTAGATTGGCGACTTAAAATAGACTACAATCTCAAACAATTAAAACCCAATTCAGAAAAATCATTTTGTGAAAAATTTAACGCTAAAATCAGGTTATATATACCGCTTCCGTTCCATTTTATTTGGTTGTTATTCATTTTTTGGATGTCCCAAAATTTTTGCAAGGTTTTTAAATTTTTATATTTAAACAATTTTTTTTTTCATAATAACCTTTATGATTGTCATTAAATAAAGGACTTTTATTAATATCTTATTGAGTTAAGGGTAAAGATGAAAAAAATAATTTTTGTTAACTAAATTTTTAATATGCGTATTTTGTCAAACTATACAAACAAAATGAGATGGAAAGAGTATTACTTACTTGTATACATATGTATATATACATAGGGACTCTGTTTTCATGGAAAATAGAAGTGAAGCTTCAATACGTTGCCAATTATTAATCAATGATTCGGTGTTATATTCTAATTAATAATTATAAATGAGCTTTTTTCAATTATCATAATTTTATTTTAATATTAATTTTTTAATTTAAATGGACATAGTATTGATGTGTACGGAAAAACATAATAAGTTTTAACGGAAAATCAAATTGAAGTTTGAACTAAAATTAAATAACTCGAACTTCACAATGGTGGTCTGTTGGTATTTACTATCTATATAGATGAAAATTAATTTCCAATTTAGTTAATTAATCTGATGAGTTCGACTAGAATCAACATATCTCAAATTTTTTGCAAGTCAAATTGAAATTCAAATGATTTTGACTCGTTTACATTTTTAGTCATGGACACAAAAATTAAATAAAATGTTCTTGTGATACCGATAGATAATTTAATGGTAGTGTACTTGTTTATAATTTTTAAAGATCCATCCTATTTAAAAATTTCAATCTATCAAAAACGTTTAGTTATTCTTATGCCCCTCAACCATAAGAATTATAATTGGTTGCGCTCCACAATTTATTAGGACAA